AAGGAAGATAGACCTACTTGGTATATGATAGTGAAATATTGCAAATACTCTCAACAAAGTTGTGGAAAGTAGCCAGAAGTAGTCATCAAAATGAGAATGCATTGTTGACCAGTTCTATGCTCACAGGTAAGAGTTTCAAGGATCAAGATGTTACAGTAAATGAATATACATTTAAATCTTTCCTATTATTGTATAATATCACAGCATAACTGTTTTTTTAAGAGAATAGTAAGAAGAAAGCTCTGTTATTTACGTAGGGTCCTTAAAAAACAGCTCCCTGTTATTGTCAAGAAAATCCAATCGGAAGGAACTGTAACACTGAATATAAGAGGCATATTTTTTTTATTTTCTTTCGGAAAGTGTTTCATATGGGTATATGACATTATACAAGATAGAGTGTTGCTTATAGATCAAAAAGGCCTCGGGTCCTGTCTCTATCTAGTCTTGAAGTTCTTTAGACTTTATGTGGAAGAGAGAAGGCGCCTGAGCTCCATAGAGAAAGGATAGCATAAAAATGAGCAAATTAACCAACTATATGCCATTCTGGCTGGGGATTTCTGGGAGTTGAAGTCCACACATCTTAAAGTTGCCAAAGTTGAGAAACACTCCTCTATTTGAAGAGAAACTTTTTTTTAACAAGACAAGAGGAAAGTTTGTTCAACCTTGCTTCAGAAAAAAAAGGCTGCAGCTATTAAATTTAGGGAAATTATTCTTCAGATGATTTAACAGAGTCTGTAGGGCTTCTCTTTCTCTTGTTGATGCAAAAGATGCTATATTTGCAATGTCATTCAGACTCATCGATGCGTATTATCTGACTTCTACTTCTGTTTAAAACTCATTCATTTCTAGAAGAGGGAATTGAATGGCTTTCTAGAGACTAAGGCAGTTTCTATTCTACTAATTTTTTAAAAAAACTTTTTTCTATGAAGTGATTATGTCTACATCAAAATTATATTTAAAAGGACGATTTAAAAGTCTGGACCAAAAGAAGTAATATTGAAAGCCCACATTCTGGAACTACTTTCGAATGGAAATGAGAAAATGAGGCAGGTTGAACTGGCCGATATAATTATTTTCTTTTTGAAATTGCACTAATAGTTTGATGCTGTAATAGAATCAGGAAGAAGATCTTTTTATCTGACAGTAGATAATACTCATTCTGTAAGTGTCACAAACTGAAATCGCTCCCAAAATTTAACTATATTAGAAGCATTAGAACTATACTTTCCCCCACTACAGTCTTATGCAATCTTACAGCGAGGGTTTAATCCTATAACACATCAGCTTGTCTCCAAAAATTTGTAGGTTTTATGAGAGTGCCATTTTATTCCTTCCAATCCTTAGAAGCCCTTGCAGAAATGTCTACCAACAGAGATGAGCCTTCCATCTGTAAAACTGAAAAGATCTTCATTTCTCCAATACATTTCCAGAAAGGACTTCAAAATTATACCTGGTAGTGGGGACCAATAGCTTTGCCTATGATGGTCCTATCTGCTTCATTGAAGGCTATAATATAAGGTACTAGTTTGCATATATGAACAATCAAATGACCTAGTTAGAGCTCTGGAGTACAGGTAGTCCTTGTTTAATTACCACAATTGGGACCAGCAACACGGTCATTAAGTGAAGTGCTAAGTGACTGTGCTTATGATCTTATTTCAGCTTTCCTTTGCTTTACAGATCCATGAAGGTCATAAATGTGAGGATTGGTCATAAAGTTACTTTTTCATCACCATCATAACTGCAAATAGTCGCTAAACAAGGACTACCTGTAATCCAACATTGATGTTAGTAATAATGCCAAAATGGAGCAGATGACTTCAATTAAAAAACAATTCTGAAGTGAGAATTTCCTTTCTGCAGAATCACACATAGAATGATTCTGCTAGTAAGAAGATATTTTCGCACTAGCTAATTTTCTGCCAGTTCTCTCAGCCATGCTTTTAATTTTGAAGAGGAAAAAAATATTCTGGCAAATTGGCCAGGTTCACTGTCCAAAAAGACCTCTGTAGCGCAGAAAGTAAAGTTCACTGATTATTAATCAAATATGTACCTCTACTATATAGTTTGGCTCAGGACCCCAAGTCAGCAATTCGGAAACTGGCTGAATTCACCTTGACTGTGGGGAGGGGTGTTTCTACTGAATGCGTATCTCAGTTTGGAATAAGTGGAAATACTGTAGGTACATGGTATTTTTTATTATTTTTGACAGGTAACTGGATGAAACCTGTACAGATAGCCAATTATTAATCCTGCCAGTGATGAAATGAATAGGCATAGTGGTTCTGTTCTATTTTTTCTTTGATTAAAAATTCTTCTTATTTAAAGGAGCTGCTGAAATCTACTTTGGAGCATAACTAGATAACATTTGTAAACATCTCACCTACCATTTCAAATTAATAGATGCAGAAGGATCTGCGCAAGAACAAACAAAAATCTAGTTTTCAGATGTTCTTTAAAAAATGGATGTGTATATTTTTATGGACAGTGGTTATGAAAATGGCATACAGCATAAAAGTGGTTATGAAGATGGCCACAGCTAAGAAACCTGAAAATTTTCAGAGAGATAGTATCAGGGGAGTCATTCACTTCTCCCTCCTTGTCCACTTTGCAATTTAGAGGAAAATGATGGACATCATAGCATCCCTCTAGACTAGAAACCTGAAAAATCAGTGACATCTTTTCTCCAGGCTCATATGAAAACTTGAAAAGGGCTGGGTTCCTTAAATGAATTCCAGAGAAGTGCCGTGCTCAGGTTCGGCTGAATGCGATAGTGAACAGGTGTCAAATGCAGTTACCAACTGTGAGTCACATGTGCTGTGTGAAGCAAGGTATGCTCTTGCATAAACAATTCCAAAAGTAAATACGATGGTGAATATTTAAAAATGCAGATTCTTCAGGCTGCAAATCCTGAAGCCTTCTGTGCCTCCTATGCTTAGAAAGATGCCATGAAACCTTTTTACAGCATTTCCAAACAAAGTACAGTGTACTAATCAAATCAAAAGAGGCTTTTTTCTGTTTGCAGAAGAAGAGCAAAGTTGAAAAGCAATTACTTTTGTGGCCAAGGTTGGAGAAGGAATGAAAACTTCATTCAGAGTTGTTCTCCTTGTAGCAAAAGTGGGTAAAAGTCACATCATATCTGAAAAGCCAACTGCCAAGTTAATGACAGGGAAGGGATAGCACAAGCTATTGGCAAAATTCTCTGGTTGAATGGCACTAGGCAATATTGTATAAAATCTATACCAGACTCTGTAGAGTTGCAGTTACTATCATGTGTGCATGCTAGGAAATATTGTGCATTACAATTGGACAAAGCGACTTATATGTAGAGCATGAATCAGCTTCTGTGCAAAACATATATGAGAGGCAATCTTGAAGGAATCTGTCTTGTTTATTACTGAAAACCCAAGGCCTGGGCAAAGAGATGCTTTATTTGGTTAACGTCCATTTGTAGTAGACTGGAAAGATGTGTTGGGATAAACACTGAGGAAGCACCAGTTATACAGTAGGTGGAATAAGGAAGGGTGCTACTATATGCTTGATGGAAATTGCACCTGAAGACGAGTCCACACATTGCTCTATTCCCAGAGGACAACACCACCTGATTTGCACCATTCACACCCTTCCTTCCTTCCTTCCTTCCTTCCTTCCTTCCTTCCTTCCTTCCTTCCTTCCTTCCTTCCTGTGCCAGTGTTTTTTCAAATGTAGCCATTTGTTTTTCAGATTTGGACTTCAACTCCCTGAATTCTGGTCGAGGAATTCTGGGAGATGAAGTCCACACATCTTAAAGTTGCCAAGTTCAAAAAACACTGGTGTAAAACATGCCTCCTTCACTTGATTCAGCTGAGAAGGAAGTTGTGAAAACTGTAACATGGTTAGATTGCAGCCTTGGAGCAATTTTTCCATGTGTTATGTGAAGAAATGAGCAGCAAATAAAAAAAAAATTGTTTTTCCACTTGGAAATAGAGTGACTGTCAAAGGGAAAGGCCCTCACGAAAGTTTTCAAGCTGAAGAAAGAGATCAAAATATTTTTATTACAGTAACGAGACAGATAAAGACACTTTCCATGTTTTCAAATGGCTTGCTCAAATATCATACAGTAGTAATATATTCAGTGCTCTGATCAGCCTCTACTTTCACTTTGCGTTTATAGTATCACACTTTTTAATATGCAGGACAAGATTTCAGCATTTTTCTTCAAAGGTTTGAGTTAGAATGGAAGTGGTTTATCCAGCAATAATTTAATTCTTTCCCCATTTGCAATGATTTATTTCATTATTAAGTAGAAGATATCAAGGAACCTTTACAGAAACATTCAAAATTCACCTCCAGGCTGCAGGAGGACATTAAGGAACCCTTTCCAGAACAGGATGTAACTAAGTAATGGATTATGAATCCATTCACCAGTGTCTCTCAAGTTGCATCCTTTGATATTCCCACTCATAATACAATACTGTATGCTTGTTGATTTAGCCTTGGACAGGGTACTGAAAGTCATCTTCAGTAAGAAATCCCTTCTAAATTTCTGGCTTAACATACATGTTGAATATCCAGGATTTTTCAACACAGCTGTCAAGCACCTGCTGCCAATTCCATTATTTGTGAGTTGGGGTTTTCAAATCTAATGGAAATGAAGAATAAAAAAAAGGAATTGAGTGGATGTGAAATCTGACATAGAGTTCAAACTATCAGCTGTTAAGACAAATATCAATCTCTTGATATGAGGTTAGGTATAATATCTCTTTGGCTGATATGAAATACTTACTACTTGAAGAGTTTTGTTAAAGAACATTTTTGACCAATAACTTTGGGCTAAGTGCTATTTTTATAACATGGCATGGAGTACATTAAAAACTTCAAGTGTTAAATAAGTATCTGATTTATGATGGTGATGTGCCATCAAGTTAGTGTCAACTTGTAGTGACCCCGTAGAAAGTTCTTCAGGAAGATCTGCCCCCATCTGGTCCTTCAGGTCCAACAGTAATATTGCTGCTGTAAGCAAGTCCATTCAACTTGCTGCTGGTTGTTCTTTTCTTCTCTTTCCTTCACTGCCCCCAGCCTTAGAGCTTTCTCCAGAGAGCTAGGTCTTCACATAATGTGTCCAAACTATGATAGTTTGACCCTGGTCATTTGTGCCTTAAGTGACAACCCTCGGTTAATTGGATGGCTGAATCTTATCTGGACTTCCTTAAAAATGATACATTTGCTTTTTGTCCAATCAGTTTTTCCACAGGCATTAGAATAGAAATCCCTTCACCAGCAACTATCTAAATATTAAAAGAAATGAGGGGTATTTCATATACTATTAGATAGTTTAAAATATGTTTGCATTTGCAGTAAGTGAAATGGCTTGAAATAAAGTTCCTATATATTTGAAAAGATCTCTCAAATCAAGCCTAACTCCTGGTGTCTACATTTTGAGAGCCCACATCTCATAACCATAACTTCTTATTCTGCCATCAGGGTGGATAATGATAATAATAAAACCATACGGTCTACCTTGTCAATGTTCAAGACTGCAATGGACAGTGAAAGAGGTTTGGTGTCTGTGAGAATAACCACGAGAGACAGGGGAAAGAGCTGTGCAAAAGGTATCTCAGCCCACAGAAGGAAAAGGGGTGTGGGAAGCATCTCAAAATTCTCCCTAATTTTCTGGAGAATAAAAGTAAAGGAGGGGTGAAGTGCTTTTGGACTGGCAAGGTTCTGTTACTGTAACCTGCCAGTAAAGCAGGGGTTCCCAAACTGGGGTGCCCATGCCCCCAGGGGGTATGAGATGGAATTTCAGAGGGGGCAACAATTTTATGCACTGAGTGAAAAGCTTATTTTTTTAAGTTCAATTTGTTCACCCACATTAGAAATTAGACTTCTTCATCTTCCAATCTGATATTACTTTTGTAGGGGGTGTGAACATTAATCAAACATTTCCTAGGGGTGTGGGCATAGAAAAGACTAGGAACTACTGCAGTAAAGGTAGGTTAGTACTCACGGTTTGTGTTTCTTGCGTGGACTACCTTGAAGGCAGAAAGTGTCTGATTCAGTATTCTGATACATGCCCTGTCATTTGGGTAGTTACAGACCTTTTTTCCAAACAAGCCCATTTTGTGGCATGCCAATCCATTCCATCAGCCCCCAAACCGGCTAAGTTATTTATACAGCATGTCTACCGAGCTCATGGTGTCCCAGAACGAGTAATTTTGGATCGTGGGGTCCAGTTTACCGCCAAGTTCTGGAGGGCGTTCCTAAAACTACTGGGGGCATCGCAAGGCTTGAGTTCAGGGTACCACCCCCAAACGGGGTACCACCCCCAAATCAACCTCACTGAAGTCGGTGAGAAACATTGCCCTCAGGTCAGTGGTAAGGTTCATTCAGAGAACTCTGAAAATCATTTAAAGGAATGCAATGAGTTTCAAATGCCACAAGCTAAAACCAAGCATTGTCTTTACCAAAGCTTTACACATTATTTTGGAGCGGACCCTCTGAACAATTTCTTGCCTCAAAGTCATTACAAATCTTCTGGAGTAAGAAGGTTCTCAGAGTGATTATCTTTCTTTTCTGGAGGTGTTGGATTTCCAGTTCTGTTCCCTAATTACTCTGAGCGATTCCTATAAAGACCTTCCTCGTTGCTATGATGGAAATTTCCTTTACAAAAATATCTTAATTTACTTAATTTATCTTAAATTTGATTGCAGTGAGCACTCCTAATTAACCTGATTTTTTGGTGATAATCACACACAATGGAATCAAATAAAAAATCCGGGGATGGATTGACCGGCACGCAGAAAGAAGCTGCCCTACGCACTTTAATTCAGCGCACGGGATATAGTTTGATTCAGGTAGGAACTTCCCTGTCACATAAATACGACTTTTAGGTTACTAATTTGAAAGTAAAATAAGGAGATATCATTTCTCAACGGCTTTCACCAGAAGTTCTCTCCTAAGTAATATTTCTTGTTTTTTAGTGAGGACCGAATGCTACATACTCACAAGTGTCCACATGGGTCTTCCTGCCTTTATGCAGTCACTTTTAGGAGTGCCAGTGGGTTTCTATTCTCATGATCTGGCTGAAAGACGGTGTTTCAGTGAACTGCCAATTCACACCGCAGTCCTGCATTCAACATAGCAATATGAACCAAGCATTTAGCAGAGGGATAACCATGTCACTGATGATTGCTCTCAGATTCTCATTTTTTGAATCACCTGTTCATTCTCTTGCCTTCCATGCAGGTTTATGACTTTAAACTCCACAAATTCTCATGCGCATTTCTCCTAAATGTACATATTTGTATGTGCATGCTAATATATTTCCTTAGACAATGTTTTTACATAATATACATACTTTTGTGTGCAGCTTCCTGTAGCGACGCATTGCAACATAAAATTAGGCATTTAATTTAGCATAATGATTCAGAAAGTACATATTTGCAATTTAAACTATGAGACCATAAAATACAAAATGAACTAAATTCTTCTTCATTCTTACACAAATCCAGATGTCTTTATGTGCCCTCTTCTCATGACTAGGTAAGTTCCTCAATCACTTGAGAGGTAATCAGAGGTTCTAAAATAAATCTAATGTATTCAGGACAGAGCCAGGAACAAATAAAAAGAGGGTGAAGTTCAAGTGCAGAAAAAGATAAAACTAGACGAAGACAATTCAGTAATATGCCTAAGGATACAAGCAGTGTTGAAATTAATACAGATTCCAAATATTGTTTCTTCTCTTCCATTCAGGAAAACGGTCAACGAAAGTATGGAGGGCCACCACCAGATTGGGATGGACCACCACCAGAACGAGGCTGTGAGATTTTCATTGGAAAACTTCCGCGAGATCTCTTTGAAGATGAACTTATACCATTATGTGAAAAAGTAATAATTTAATTTAGTAGGTTTTCTTTTCTCTTGCGGATACTTAAAGGAATGAAATTGTGGGCAGGGTGTATACTTCAAACAAGTAAAGTTTAATGAGTAGTTTTGTGTAGTGCCTGTGGCTGGACTTCTCAGGAGAAGTTGGAGAGCACGTGTGAGTTTCAGTGTGTCTATGGATGCAATACTTTTCTCTGGATATTTTTTTTCCTCTAACAGCATTGCATGTCAGACAGAGAGTCTACCACAGTGACTCAAATGTTACATTTTCTAAAGCTCATAGTCAAACCCCTGATGGGCCTTACAGACCACTAGGTTGCCATGTGCAAATCTTATCTTTCAATGCAACCATTCTTCACACAGTTCTTACAAATCTAAAGTTCTGCTCTGAGCTCTTTGGAAGATCTCTGTCCCTATCTCATTCAGTTTTAATAATTGCAGAGAAAATGACCCACTTTTAAATATTGACTGGAGTTAGCCAATTTGCAATTCCCAGTTAAGCATCCTGTTTTGGAACTCCATGTGTAATCTATAAAAGTGATTTTACAAGGGTTACTCAAATACCTTTGTGACTGGCTCTATCATTTCTAAGTATTGTTCAGGAGACACAACAATCTTTAAGATGACACAGGATTTAGTGCTGTTCTTAGACAAATATGTCTACTATTTTGTAACTTACTGATATTACATACTCCCAAAGTCTTTTAGAAACTCTTTAAACAGGTTAAAGTATTACGTTAACTCACATTCATTTGGGAACTGTTAATTTATAAGCGCACAAACTAAAATGGTGTGCATCAGAGCAGAAGTAATGATTCAAATAAGGAAACATATCAGAAAGAACTAAAATAAAATCCATAATCTTCTGGATCCTTTGTAGCAGGGAGAGTAAGGTGGGTTGGTAATAGAATGAGACTAAGACTGGAAGAAAGAGATTTGAAATCCTGCTAACCCATGTACCTCCTTGAGTAAGGTTGCTATTATTTGTAAAGTTTCTGTGATGTTCACATGAGAATGCATCATTTACACCCTCTTAAACTCCATGGAGGAAGTTTGTCTTCCTTCACTAGCATCCAAGGAACTTGTTTGTTCATCCACCAAGTGATTATAATAGTCATAGATGTCCTGAATTTATTAATTATTTTGGTACTCTTATCCTGTGTGATATTTCTCAGATAATTACCTTACATAGGAATAAGATATATAAATAAATTTCCTTGGACCCTGACAAATGAATGTCTTTAAGGCTCACTTTTCAGGGTGAGGTAGATGCTGTCAGAATGAAAGTAATTCCCAAGAAACTTGATATTTGGTGTGGAATTCTTATATACATATCTAGAAAAATGTTTTCAAAAACTCAATACATTGCTCCATAAATTTCTATGGGAGAGGTTCTTCAATTCCAAGAAGACATTGATATTCCCTTTTTTTTCCTTCGATGTTTCTCCTATCACTTTAAATGGTAACACACTTAAAAACTAAAGACTGAAGATCTTTTGCTAAAGCTCAGTGTATTTTACAAGTTGAACCTCTGAGGCAATACCCTTGTGTTCAACGGAATGTATTCCAAGCATATATAGGACTTGCAATTATGCCCTATTATATATTTAATTTGCAATTAGTGACTTGTTTGTTTACAAATATTTCCTTGTTTGGCATATCTATTTTTTTTAAATTAGAGTATTGATTCTTTCATGAATAAAAAAGTATATGACTATAGATTCTTCTTGGAATCATGAGCTTTCAGAATGTCTTCTTCACAAAACTTACCACTACTCCATTATTAGATTTGTTACTATTCCATTTCCAATCACTCCTTGGATATGAGTGTCTCATATATGATCATTGGGATCATCCCTTGTCATTTCCTGCAACTGATTTCAATGCTATAGGCTCTGAATTCAGGCACTCTTAAAACTCTGCCCTGAAAGAACATTCTTACAACTTTTATTCCCATTGCTGCTGCGATTCACATCAGTAAAATTATTTGTGACAGCAACACCTACAAAGCGAGCTCTGATGTCAGGGGTCAAAAGGAAGAGGAAAAAAAGACAAAAATATAAAGTGATAATGGGTCTATGGAGCAAAGATGACAAGCCCTTGATAACTGTGCAATATATTTTCTATTGAACAGCATGGCTGTTGACTGAGTCTGCAGTCTGTGAAAGAAACAGAGAATGACAGCTGGATGTTACAGCAGTATCATATAACAAAACAGCTATTTACATTATCCCACTGCCCTACTTAATGGAATCAAAATAGCAGCACTAACCCATAGGAACAGATTCACAAGGTAGGGGGAACCTTAATAAAAAAATTAGGCCCCCCTCCAAAGAATGAGCTCAAATAAAAGCAGACTGTGGTGGGCCAAGCACCTCAGCAAGCATGGAATTCCAGCTTAATGTTGTTTGGGAACAAAATGGAAAACTGGGTGGGAAAGGAAATTGGAATAGACCAACAGGAGTACTAAGCAGAAACACTGCAATTGGATAATTTTGTCACAGGGACCATGTGTCTAACTGGATTTTAATGTCAGGAGCAACCTTCCACACTCCAGCGCATGGAACGATGTCCATAATTTGTAGCTAATAATTGCGTCAGGTTTATTACTGGAATTGATGGGAAGATATCTGGGGGTGGTCACTGGAGATGGTTGATCAGGATTACTCTATTTTCTGCTATTACTAGAGTTTTGCTCTTATCAAAACTCTGGCTGTCTTTAGGATTGGAAGTATTCATAATCCCTGAAAAGAAGAGTTACTTAGCGCTGCCAGATCTGAGCTGCAATTATCTCCATGACCATTAGATGACAGCAAAATGTTAGAGTTTTCCATCTACTTGGTGCCATCTAGGGATTGTTTAGATTTAGGCAGCCTGGATCTGGTAGACCTAAGTAACTACCAAAAGTATAAGCAAAGGCTTGTACCACAAACAACAAAACCCCCGCACTTAGTGGTGATGGGTGGAAGGCTATCCTGCATATATTGAGGAGCAGAAGGCATCCAGTCAGGTCCATCCTTTTGGCTGAGGCGAAAATCTGACAGGCCAAAACTTTGTAACCTGTTAGATAAATTTGCTATCTGTCTCTTTTATCATTCCATTAGAACAGTTTTCCCTATGTATTGAACTTCCACTCTGATAACCCTAACCACCATGGCCACTAGCCCCTGCTGCCTGGGGAATATGGGAGCTGAAGTCAAACACATCTGGAAGACAGCAATTCTGAAAAAATTACTCTTCAAAGTTTCCTCAGTCTCTTAGCATAGTCTATGAAAGCAGCCACCTGTTTATTTATTTTACTTAGGCTTACATGCCACTTCATTCACAACCAACTTTAAGTGGACTACCCCATTTAACTATTTCCCCAGCTTTCAGTTATTTATAAGGAAATTCCAAAAGATCTCATGTTTATACTGAATTGACTATGGAGCTATTTTTCTGCCATTTTTGTCCTGAAGTATTTTTCTCAATGCAAACAATTCACTATAACAATATTACCATAAATTTTATAGTACATTTATAATGTATTAATTTAGTATGAATTTTATTAATTTATTTTTTATTAAAAATTAAATTAAAAACAACAATAAACATATCCGTACATGATAGTATGACTTACATTTAGATCAGTGTTTTTTAAACTGTAGTCCTAGGACCCCTCTGAGTCCCCCAAGACCCTCCCAGGGGCCCTCAAAATCAAAATTATTTGCCAGCCTATATTGAAAAATAATACAATATTAAAATCCTATCAATCACAAGAAGCGGTAATGGCAGCAAATGTGTCAATTTTAATTTTTAATGTGGTAAATATCGATAAATAAAACCCATACAAACAAATGTTCTTTCATAATTTTTAAAAGTGGGAATGGGCCCTGAGAGAAAAAAAATTAAGAAACAGTGATTTAGGTGACTGAACTCCTGGATTCCTGAGGCAAGACAGACAATTGTTACTGGAATGTGTTAATAGAAGTTATTGCAAACCTCCTGGAGCTTCAGCATACACCTCTTCTGTTTTTTTCTATTTTACATATGGGTCAGAAAACAGGTCTCAGATAAAGTGTGCTCCAAGGTAACCTGTCCTGAAATGAAACAGGCATACAGTCAGAATGGTGAGGACCACAGAATTTGACCAAAGAGCTCTATGGTGTAGATAACAATTCCTTTTCTAAGAAAGCTTATGGAACTTTGTGTTTGACTGTTCCAGATTGGTAAAATCTACGAGATGAGGATGATGATGGATTTCAGTGGAAATAACAGGGGATATGCTTTTGTAACGTTCTGCAACAAACAAGAGGCAAAGAATGCAATCAGGCAGCTGAACAATTATGAAATTCGGTGAGCTGAGTTTGCTTATTTTTATTTAATGGATTTGTATTCTGTCTTCAAGGACACTTAAAATCTAATGGAAGATTTTAGAAGTCACTCTCTGAAAACAAAACAACACAAAATAAAGCAACATCTGTCACAAAACTGCCTGATGAAACGAGACCATATTTTTCTTCAAGCAGGACTATTACTGTAGTCTGATACCTTCCTGATGATTTAGTCTACAACTTGCTGCTGAGGATGACAAAAATACAAGACATTTAGAGAATTTCAAGTTGGGACAGACCATCCTATATAAACAGCAGTGGGAGCTAGTATTCAATTCACTTGTTTTCCCCTCATTCCTGTTTCTTCTCAGTGATTTATTCTTTTCCCACAAAAAAGGAAGAGTTGACATTACACACCTAAGGTTGAAACCAAGTTTAAATATGAGTTTGTTTCCCTTATACCACAGCAGTTTTCATATTAACTGATCCATGAGAATCATACAACCTATATTAAAATCACAGTGTTATTAGCTTAGCCACCCCATACCTTTATGTCCAAAACAACATACAACATAGTTTACAGTAAGGATCAATAAGTGGAAATCTTCAGTTCAAATCCTGAGGTCTACAGATTTCAAGTACAAGAAAATTATATGCATGCAGGTGGGGAGCACTAATATTTGTGAGAAAGGGATTTTAAGAAGCCAAGGATAGAAACTGACCTCAAAGTGAAGACTATTTTCAGACTTAGCATTTAACATTTTGTTGCCCTACCTAGTTTTAATGATTTTAGAGAGGGCAAGATCTACCCTGAAGAGGTAGATCTTACAACCTTCTTATGTTCCCTACCATTTCTTCCATCTTTTTTTTTTTTACACAAGAAATATATTTAAAGAGAGAAGACAGAATGTTGTAGTTATGCAATATTTTGTGACAGCACTAGGAGCCCTCAGTCTAGAAGTACTCTTAATTTAACAAAGGGGGAGTAAGATAAATTTCTGTGTAAAACTTTCTCCTATCATCTACCCAGGGATTATTTGTGTGAATTAGTTTTCATTAGGCTAGTGCTAAAATAACTTTTTCTCCCACAAAAGCTGCACTGTATTGTTAACGAAACTGTTAGTAATTTACTGATTATTTGGTCATTCATGTTGCTCACACCGTTTGACAGAACAATGTAGGCTCTAAATCGTATTCCCAACCAAGATTTTCCAAAAAGTTCAGTCTATTTCACCCCCTCCATGGAATTCTTTTTTCACACAGGGATGGTCGGTTACTCGGGGTTTGTGCCAGTGTGGACAACTGCCGCTTATTTGTAGGAGGCATTCCGAAAGCCAAGAAAAGGGAAGAAATTTTAACCGAGATGCGGAAAGTGACAGAAGGTGTAGTTGATGTCATTGTGTACCCTAGCGCAGCTGATAAAGCAAAAAACCGAGGGTTTGCTTTTGTGGAATACGGAAGCCATCGAGCAGCAGCTATGGCAAGACGAAAACTGCTACCAGGTAGGGCTAAAAGATGCCCCGATATGTGGCCAAAGCAACCTCAAGCTGCAATCCGGGGGCGGGGGGGAGGTTTCAAGAAAAAGCAGCAAATTGCTACTTATTGACTTTGCTAAAAGGCCCTCTGACTTATCCCCATAGCTTGTATTCACTTAAAAAAAAAAAAAAAGCAAAAACCCAAAGATTGATCTCTAGTTCAGTGCAGTAGCACTTGATGTAATTCCTGGTGCTTTTGACAAGTTTCATGCAAGAAACATGAGCCTGTGGTCGAAGAGTTATCCTCCCCTCTCTTATCTCCCTTCTCAGCATGTACAATTCTCTAGGCTGGCCAAATTATTTTGGCACCTGAGGCAAAAAAAAAAAAAAAAAATCCCCTGCTTTGAATAGTGGAAAACTTTTGTCCATCCATCCCTCTTTTCAACGTGGCTTGGCAGCTTGCTAGCTGTTTTGTATCTCCGGCTGCAGCTAAGGAAGGGTATAAAGTTTGCCTGGTTTTTATGTGAGCAGAGAGGTTTCCCTAGAATAGACATTAAGGACAGGACAAGCACTGTTAAGAAACTAGAAAGTCTGGGTTTACTCTACACCAGCGTTTCTTAGCCTTGGCAACTTGAAGATGTGTGGACTCCAGCTCCCAGAATTCCCCAGCCAGCATGCTTCAAGTTGACAAGGTTGAGAAACACTGCTCAACCCAGTAAACTGGGGCAGGCATTTAGAGGATCAAGAGCAAGAAACAGCCTCCTGATACTTTGGAGGTCCCCAGGAGGACTTCTAGGAACTACCAGATGGAAAAGGGGTTAATTAATAGAAGAGAATATGTGTAGCTCAGGGCTGAATT